TATCCGTCTTGTACATGTTGCTGAACATTTGAGATATATAATAAAACAATCCTCATATTATTTACCATATGTAGGCCTTCTTATTTATTCCTACTTGAATACCCTTAGTTATGTTAGTTATCATATGTGGGACAAGAACAGGCTGGAACAACGCACCTGTGCATTATCATAGGTCTCATCGTCGGGTATGCTAATTGTAGAACTTTCGCATTAATTTAGAGAGCAGATACTCCAAAATTCCTGAGTGGGGGTCCTAGGGGCTCTTGAACCGCTTGCTCTGCTACAAACTTTGGAGAGAACTTTCGGCTCACCGTATATTTTTATTGCCTTTTTGACATACAAACCCTATATGCTTACAAATATTTATACCTTCTGCGAGATTCGAACCTGGGCCTGCCGGTACGGCAGTTGGCGCCACTAACCTCAATACCAGTAGGGAGGTGCATATGTGAGACAGCTGCAAGGCTGAAACAAGTAATGTTTTGAACCACTTAAAATTCATAATCTGTTAGAACAGTGTTCATCAAAATTTTTACATTTGCGACCAATACGCGATTCATGTTATTGGGATTCATGGGCACCCGCATAATATAATAGCGATCTATAATTACCCACATGTATATGTTTTTGATTTGTCACGGCTCTCAAAAATAAAGTTGCTCTTAAGAGAAGGCGGCAATGACATTCTTAGAAGAAATTAATACAAAAAGTATAAAATAAAATAAAACAGATAAAAAAATCTGAAAGCTTTCAGATTTTATATTACGCCTAAAGGGGCGCTTTTTTAACATTTTGCGTGTTTTTGTTTATTAAATAACATGTTCTTTGCGCTTAAACTACATAAAATTCAACTCAACAGCAATATCCCAAAATATTTAAAAATAGCATATCCTTAGAATTTCAGATAGACAGTCTCGCGCGCTGGAGATGTTTCCTCCCCTGTATTGTGTTGCCATTGTTCGCTTTGAAACTGTTTAGTTTGTTAATCAAAATTTCGTTAAAGTTTTACAAAATACGAAAGAGATAATAAAACAAATTCCAAATTCGTGCTTCCAGGTACCATGTTCGGGTGCAGAATTACATTATTCAAAATTGGATGGCTCTAGGTACCGTCGTTTTTTCACAATGCGTGAAACACACACACACACACACATAGATATATAAATATATATATATATTAAAGGAGATTCTTCATTATTTAATTTCTTTAAATATAATACAGGACGATAATATTTGGTGGCAACACTTTGAAAAGTAATTCAGACTTTCATAGTGATTCAACGCAAAATGTCGTTTTGAGACTAATAGCCTTTCTGGGCTGACGCCCATTTGGGGTAATAATAAAGTAATAATAAATAAATATGCGTGTAATCGACTAATACTTCGTATAAATTCGTAATTGCGAGTAAATATGCATAATTATACAATCAGAAAACGTATTTCAAAAATTTTCCGCGATCCATCAAAAATTGTCTTACGACCCACATTTTGAGAATATCTGTGTCAGAATATTCAAAAGCTTCCTCAGAACTGGGTTTATATTAAAGATGTTTTTGGATTAGGGCATATAGGATTAAGGATTAATTCGGTACCAATATTTTTAAATAATTCTTTCATTAGTTCCAATAATATATAGGTCATATTTTACTATTTGCATCCTTACTTATTTGCTTTTAGTATACACTTTGTTTTTAATTGACAAAGTTCGGTAGTTGACTTTTGTCAGCGGACTAGGAGCAATCATTGTAATCCCTTCCTCGTATTTTCTCTGAAAAACATTCTATTCATTCTCTGTGGTCTCTGGTGAGAGGGAAGAATGGTTTCCTAGATTAGAACGTCACTCTAAGATCGCTTCTTGTCGCCGTTTTCAAGATCAGTCTTCCAGTGGCACTTTTAAACAATGATATCTCTTCTTTTATCCTTGTCAAGCCCATCTTCCTTTTGGGGATTCAGGTGCTTTAAATGGTTCCTCTGGCTTTTCTTCTTCTTTTGTCCAGTTTTGACTTTACTGGCTTAAACCTTGAGGATTTAATTTACGGTGAAATATTGTGGAGTACAATAGATCTCAGGACACCTGTCAAAGAATGTAAACCCGAGCCGTTCACTATTTTGTACGTTTTAGTGGCAGTGCTACTGTTATTCGTCGTTAATGATTAAGAACTGGTAAATCAATATGAACTGGAAATACTGAAATAATGTTTACAAAATAAATACAATGGAATCTCGTTTTTAAATATTAAATTAATTATTGCACCAGAGTTATTCAAAGCCTATCTGTCTTTGATTTGCATTTACGTGGAATTTAGGAAAAATACCTGAATTCTCCAGTATAGTTTACCTTCCATTTAGAATCGATCAATCAGCAGCTAATATAGTGTACCACTAATATTTGCATTATCATATTCCAGCCTTCTGGAATTATTTGATATGCTTATTATAATCTTCGTTTTTCGTAAAGCCTCTCTGAAACAGACTAGCTGCATCAGTATTTCTCTCTTTCTGATTAAGTTTAATAAAATCACAAACCAATTTTTGTTTGGAAAATACTTTCCAATATATCGCTTTAATTTCGGCATATTAATACAGTGAAAAACAGATTCAAGTTAATCTTTTTAAGACAACAACCTGTAACAAATTATCTGGTCATTTTAATAACTCCAGTTCTCATTTCTGAAATAATAATAAGCAGCACGTAGATGTAAACTATTTGTTTCTTATAATCGAGTGAGTACACAATAAGGGAGTATTTTGGTATATTTTTATAATTTTTCATCACTAAATGGAAAATGCAAAAATATTTTATTATTAAATTTAGTTTTTCCGATATCTGTATTTAAGTGACGAGATGTATTATAAAATACGACCTCTTCATGGAAGTCAAGTAATTTTTGATTTATTCAGATTATATTTCGATAAACTGAGTAATTTAAATTACTGAACTTTATAAGAGCTACATACTGTTATGCCTTACTGAATTATCAATATAAATCAACTTAAAAAGAGATGTATTAAATGAAATCTTGAAGACTTATTAAGTTATAAGCAGTGAAGACAGTAATACATGTTATATCACACTCAATCAATTTTCCGAACGGAATGAGCTTATGTAAATATTCGTTTTATTAATAGATTACATTATTTTCTGTATTAATTCTAAAGACGTAAAGTATTATATCCCCCTTGAGATCAAGCCTACTTGCGAAGAGGAAAAAGAAATAAAAGTAATCCTACAAAGAAAATGATCGATCTCAGTCAATATTCCCTTTTTGAACATCTGAATGTAACCTCTTGAGTCTTTTTCATCAAAAAAAGTATTTTTTTTTTTTTTTTTTTTTCATGGGGGATGTAATGTTGATTATTCAATTAAAACGCTAACCTTTAATTAGACTCTTTATAGCAGTATCTGAAATCCTAAGTATGAAAGTCAATTAAGAAGTCAAAGGAAATGCTTTTGATGCAATGTGTCAATGGCGTATTCAGTTTTGCTTTTCAGAGAAATATTCCAGCTAATAATGCTATTTTCTTTTTCCCTGAGAAAGGGGTCTTTACATCTTTTATGGAATAAGATTATATTACGATATAAATTAACTGTTCTCTATATAATTTGTTTTCTTTAATGCAATTCTATGCAGCCCAAATATCACCGTATGCATAGCCTAATTCCTGTCCCAGAACTCCTAAACTCTTAAACCTCTTAATTCCTCCTAAAATTCTTCATAATTCTATTTCTCTCTCATAAAGCGATGGAAAGGTGGAGGTTTTGGAATCCCAGAGAGAATGCTGTGTCTAGGCTGGTGATCCTTCTGAGGTCCTAGTACCCCAGATGTCTCTAGTGTACATCAATATTAAGATCAAAATTTAAAAAAGAAATTTTTTTAGGGGTATATTTGGAGCCCTATTTTACTTGAACCTACGGCAGCAGCTCCTACAGTCTATTTTTTTTTATCCGGCGCTGTGATTGAACGTCTGTAGATTGGACAAGGCCTTATGTATCAGCTGGACCTTACCATTATCTCAGCAAGTGACGACCATGTCACAAACAATTAATGACTATGACATTAATTTTCTGTGCCCGTTAATGACCATGAGCACAAATATGGATGCATGATCTGGATCAATTATCTGTGATCCTTTGTTATCTATGACTTAAGAAAAACAAAAAGCTTAAAGAAGTTACTAAAATCAGTTTGATATTTTGTCAGAACGCAAATGGCCTGTTGATGAATTTACCTTGTCTGTAAATCACTAAACCTATGAATTCTTGATACGAATCAATTGCCAGCGTTTTGAAGGGCTAGTAAATATTCTTGTTCGAAGCAGAGATACAGTTAAAAGTTCTTTGGTTGAATGACAGTTCTCAGGTTACATACAGTTCTTGAAATTCTTTGAATCGAGTTAAAGGAAATAAAATAATATTTCACCTGTGTTGCCATTAGAAATAAGGATGACTCTATTTTAAGGCCTATTACGTAAAAACTTTTGAAAGTCCATTGACGAACCTGGTAAACCAATATCAGGATCCACAATATTTTAGTCGGAAAAATTATGAATGCAACCGAGGTTTGTAACCGAGTCGATTATTAAATAAATAAAATTCAACGTCCCTTGTTAAATATTTGTTGCCTCAAGTATGAACAAAAGTATTTATTTAAGACAGAATTCTGGATATGAGTGTTATGATATCCTACATGGTAACCATTCAGCGAAATACAGACTGTAACTGAAAATATAAACGAAACGGTAATTTTTGCTGTAGCAGACACCCAAAACATTCTAAAGCCTCTCACGGAACAGGAACCGAAGTTTAAATGATATATTCAAAATTTATTAGAGCTCTACAAAAAATTACTCAAAAAAAAAAAAAAAAAAATTGTTAACATAACTTTTTTTATAACCACCTTATTACAGTTTAAATATTGATTAATGTTTATATTAAATCTATTTTCATTGTATAATCCTGGTAATACTTGAAAAAAAGCTTCTGTGTTTATTTCTTTCAGTGTAAAACGGAGATATCTTTGTTTACCGGACAGAGAGACTTTCTACCATCGGCGTGTTACTACAAGGAAAATCAGATTCAGGTTAATTTTTTTACACATTTTTGTTCCAGTTAAGTACAGAGCTCCATGCCACCACCCTTAGAGTCGGCCTCTTGATCCAGTGTTGATTTATGTTACCCTCGTTTCAATCAAATTATTTCAGTTGCGTATGAACAGCTAATATTACACAGAATCCACAGTTTTATAAAGTCTTCTAATTTCATTACCCACGGTTTAGTCCTAATCGTTATATTGAAGGAGCCGTAACTTCTGCACATAATGAGAAATTACTGTATCTACCTAATAGAATGAATAAGTACAATTCGTGAGACAAGTTTTAGTTAATGATTTTACAGCATTTTTTAATCATGGAATTTTAATAACAAGTTTTGATTATTCCTTAAAATTACATAAAAGATAGGTATAATTGTATCGATAATTAAAAAGGTTACATTAAGATGCATATTTTTTTACTTAACACTCTTAGTTGTCAGGTCTAAATGTACCCAAGGTAATAACGATATCTGTTTCCAGATAGTGTAATCTCTACATAATTTTCAATTTAAATAAGATGTTAGAATAAATAGCGAGGTTAAAAAATTAATACTTTTTTGCCGCATATTTTTGGTGTGCGTTGGTAAGAGTGGAAAGACAAACGTATTTACACATAAGATAAAAAATGGTATATATGTTTATGAAAAGAGAACGAAAGGGGGAATTATAATATTAAAATAATTATACACAAATAAAATTTATTTTTTCTTGTTGTAAATCATTAAGGCCGAATTTAAAATAAAACAATACCCTTTAATGTAATCTTTTTAAATTCCTAATTTGATGATGGTTATAGTTTTCGTTGTAGAACAGAACTGTACATCACCACGCCAAAATAGATATCGCCAAGAAAAGTTCATCAATCGTTCTTACAGAAAATACGCCCTCTTTTTGAATAAAAAATGATCAAATTTAAGATTTCACCCTGCAAGGTGGCGCGATGTAAAAAGAAAAGGGACAAACGTAAATAAACAAAAAATATCGGAGCACGGTTTACAGAAGGAGGCGAATCCAAAATTTGCACGCTCTTCCCATAACCGCCTCTTATGATATTCTTTTTATTCTTCGTTATTTACTTATTATAACTCCTCCGCTTGAATGTTTAAAATGCCGTGGTTACCATATTTCACTCATATCGCTTTCTTGGCGCTTTTATCAGTAGCATAGTTTTATTAACTTTCGAAAGGAAAAAGTTATTTTAAACTATTAAAATGGTAATGATACTATTTTATTTTTAAACTACATAGATTTAATTTTGTTTTCTAGGGTTATATTAATGTTATAATGTTGTGGTACAATTTTTCGCTTACCCGATTAGATCGTATTTTAAAATTCAGCAGATTTTGTAAGGACGGAAAAAATGAACATTTAAAAAATTCTCTCTATGCATTTAAAGAGATCAGTAATAGTCGAGATTTTTAACAGAGATTATCGTTTAAACAAAGAAGTCTCTGATCTACCGTAGAATTCCTTTATTGAAACTGAAAGGGAAGGAGACATCCCGGCTTGTTGATTTTCAGTCACGTTTTCATAACAGGTGAAGTATTTTTTTTACATTTGAAGCATATTTTCGTATAGATAATTATCAGTCACTGTGCTATTTCTGAATAAATTTCGCATAACAAAAATTTACATTCTCCTTTTATACATCTTTTATTTTCATTTAAATAATAAAAGCAAAGTAATATGTTCGTGCAAAAATATGGAAGAAAATAAAGACAAACAAAAATTGAAAATTAATTAATAATACCTGTTCGCTTTTAATGCCTTTCTAGGGAGTTAGCACAAACTGTTTCGCAGATCCCCCAGATCTTCCATCTAAATCTCCTCAGCATATAAATTAGAAATTACGTGTTACAGCAGAATTTCTCTACATTATTATTATTATTATTATTATTATTATTATTATTGGCCCATCTTCTCCTTTGCGTAGAATTTTCGAGTCCCTTGCAATAAAAATGTGTTAAATATCTGTCGAATGTGATCTACAGACATCGACTGAATAATCTTGAAATTTTTTTTTTTTTTTTTTTTTGGCATTTATTGCAATTGCACAGCATCGAATTATTGAACTTTCGCACTTTAGAAACAGACTATCAATAATTAAATATTTCTCAAAGCATTGATAACAATCAACCCGGCGGCAAAACATGCAATGATTCCTGCTAAATCACATCCAGAGAAAGTATATTGATAACCCATGCTACTTGCGCTTTCTGGATATCATTACAGTTACTAACACATACTCATATTTATAGAGTTTTCGACTGATAGTTTGTAACTCATACTCCGCATGTTTCCTTGGAATAAGAAATTAAGTTAACATGCATAATACTTGGACTAGCATTTATGAACGGTTCAACTGGTATGAAGTGATATAATTTTTGTGCATCACTGTAAAATTATAAAATAGTGAAAGTCGATTTGAAAAATTAGAAGGGACTAATTTTTGAATCCTGATTCAATGATCTCCTATTCCGATTAAGCTGGTTTTGGTTAAGAGAACTTCAGCTGAGTTGAGTTTTGTAGCGTTGGGGCTTCTGGAAAGAGGTGCTGGATCTTCAAGATTATTTTTGGTTACGAAAAGAAATCGCCAATTGCGCCAAGCCATCGGATTTGTCGCTTGAATTTTCCTCACGCGACCGATGGGGAGTTTTAGAATCGGTAGCGAGGGAGGGAAGAGACAGAATGGGTGGATGTGACACGTCAACAATTTTTGACGCGACGCCGCGACCAAGACGAGCGCGGCGCCGACGCGCATCAATGATTTAAAAAGAAAAAGAATCGACATGGGGGAATAGAGATCTGTAGAGAAAATTTTCGTCGCATATTTTATTTTGTTTAGTTATTATAATCGCTTCCCCGCCCGTCTCTGCTGTCTGTCTGTCATTTGATCCGGACCCGTCGAATTAGCCCTGGCTTAGATAACAATACCGATTTCACGTCGCGGCTTTCACCTGTGTAGCCTGACGCAATAATCGTGCGAAAAATCTGATTTCGCTACCTGGGGACGCTTATTTGTACCTTTCAAATATGCTATTACATTGTGATTATGACTTCCTGAGAACTCTGAGAAAGTGAAGGCTAACAATAAGCAAAAAGGAAGCAAGTGTAATGCTATATTTGACTCGAAAAATGTTAGTATAATTTGAGAAAATGATAAACGCATACTGTGCTATATATTTTACCCTTTTAAATCCTATACGAAAAGATACGTTGAGATATCTACTGTTAAACGAAAAAAGCCCCCCCCCCCCTCCCCCCCAAAAAAAAAAAAAAAAAAAAAAAAAAAAAAAAAAAATTAAAAAAAAAAAAAAGAAGAAAATAAGAGAGAAAATCTGTAAATGAGATAAATACGAAGAAAAATCAATATGTAACCTTATATTTACATCATTCATTCATTTACTCCTTTAACAAGACACAGCTTTTCAACCCAAAGAAGATAGACTTGGATAGGACATGGCAGTCGCATTAGAATGGCAGTCGCAGAAGAACAAATAATAGTATTCATGTGGATCCTGAAAGAGAAGAGACAAAAACTGAATTGAAGGAGGATGCAGAAAAAATCGTGGTTGGAGAAAAACTAAGAAAATAGGAGTATTAAATCACGAGGAACTGAGGATAAGACCGAGAACATAGCACAAAATTTCTTGGTCCCTTCCATTGAGTGCAGCCACTCTTGGAGCATTACCTCCCCTCTTAGATCATCCCTAACAGGCATTCTTAATTATTTCATATTCAAGTTTACGTTCTTTACTTAATCTTTTCCACTACAAGTTTCATATTTGCTTTTGCATATAGTAATTCAACACTAAAAACACTTGGAAATAATATGCAGCCCAAAAATCTTTATGCAGACATAATTTGATACTATTTATATAATAATAAAATATATGCCAAAGGAAATAGTAAAAATAATCACTTCTTTGTGTAGTCGTTACTAAATTCAATGCAACTGCCCCAGTGTTTCAATAACGCCTGTTTTCCGTGAGGAAAAATACTCTGCTGCGTAGTTGAGCCATACATCGTCTCATTTTGCTCCTGATTTGCAAGCTTTCTTTCTTCTTTTTGATAAATTTATTCTCACGACTTAATGCTCTCACACTATTAATCATGTGTGTGTAACAAAAATCAAACAATTAATCTTGAAAATATTAAATTCATATCACCAAACAGCATTTGTTTTTAGATTTAAAAAATACATATATATATACATATATCAAATATCTACCTGCAGAACGAAGAAATTTAATTCCGATGCATGTGAATCTGAACTTTTAAAATGAATTATTTAAGTGCAAAGTAATAAAATTAAGTGTAAAGTAGAAAAATGAAAATTACAGTAAACAATACTCCAAAATCTAGCTATGTACACAAAAAATAGCTATGCATTTGATGCGCAAATCATTAACCATATATTACATGCATGTTTTTTAAAATGATTTTTAAAGAAGCATTTTCATAATTTTCCACTTCACTAATTACTATTGACTCAGCTTATTCTCAGCTTTCCTTCTTCTAAATTTAATGTTAAACTTTTAACCGTAGACGATTGCATGGCTTATGTTGAATCACATTTTGAGGTCGTAACCAATATCTCAAGCATATTCACAGATCCCAGCACTTGTTTGTTTGAAAATACCCTTTCCACATATCAAAGAAAGCATCATTGTTTTCACAGCGTGAATTTCTTTCCCTGACAATATTGAAATTGTTATCTATTGCGGAATGTATCTTCTGCGAGCGACTTGCTCAGGTTACCCCATGAGAAAAGTGCATTTCTAACATGATTAAGTCTTTTTTATTATTATTATTCATTAAATAAATGCAAAAGTGTCCGAGTGGTATTCATTTTTGGTGAAATAATATAACAGCAAGCTTCATTTGTCCCTGTTGTTTTTAACAGTTGGTTTTAGATTTTATGCTCTGTATCGTAATTTCGTAAGAATAAATTCTTAAATCATTTGGGCCTGACGTTCATGTTTATCTTAAAATTGCTAAAGGTATTAAACCGGAATCCGAATATATTACATATATTTTAATTATGATATTTTGTATTTTTAAGCTTTGAATTTTTTGTAATTAAAAAATATTATTTGAGGTATTAGAAATTTTCTGATCGTGATATTTCTAATTCCTTCCGGCACATCATATTCTTGCTCACTCTCATTCTCGATTTCATGAAATCGTAAATTTCTTTAGCGAAAATATAACTTTTTTTTTTTTTTTTTTCCTCTCTCCTTGCTATACGCGTCTAATAGTTCCAGCGTTACGTCATTTTCATGTCATTTTTAGCGTATATCCGCATAATATCTGAAAAATAATTATATAGAGTGGCACTTTCCATACAGTGTTGTAGGAAATTCATATACGAATGCAAAATATTCGCGACATTTTGTCGCTCATTATGTACAGAATTGATAGGTGTAATTTTAATGCAATGTTATAATGTTTTCAAACATAAATTAGATTTTAAAAAGATAGAGAGAGAGAGAGAGATGACATTTTCATTGTGCTATTCTGCAAGCTACAGGAGGAAATAACAGATCATCAAATATGCATGTTACATCACATCAACAACATGCAAACCCAGCATTTTCGCATTACAGTAGAAATGGAATATTAAACATAAACGCATGACTTCCTGTCAAGTATATAACGTGATGAAGTCATTCAAAATCTCTCGACTTATTCCTGAGGGTGAATTATCCAGCACACGGCGAGACGCGACATCAAGATAAAGATCACGTGGTTTTGGTCTGATGCGTTTTTGATAATGACTCTGCTGCCGACAAGGGAAAAGATTACAGTGACATTTATAAACCAGATAATCTACTTGGATCTTGGGGAAGAACCGATGCTTCTTACTCTGTTTCAAGTGCTAGAAAGAGGTACCAAAATTTAAATTTCCTGGTATTTAAAAAAGTATCATTCTAATACGAAACGACTAAAATATGTTCCGAAGACGAAGCTTGAGTGAAGCTTAGGATCTTTCTTAATTGATTACATTATAAGGTATTTCTCCCGCCTTTCTAGCGTGCCTTCGTGGTGTGGTGGTCTGCACGCTGGGCGAGTAATCCAGAGGTCCGTGGTTCGATTCCCGGCGAAGGCGTTGCTAATTTTTCATCTTTTGTGCTTCCCCCCCAAAAAAACACCTAATATTTCTACAACATAAAAGTGGAAAATAACTGTTTTAAGGTTTATTTAAAGCACGATATAATTCTCTGTTGTATTACTGCCCAATACACAATGGTTTTGCATATTATTTGGGTGTTGCCAAAATTCTTATTTAAATAGCTCGGCTCTGGATTAAATGCCTGTATCAATGAAAGAGGACTTCTTCAAACACAGAACACAATTTTTATGAAGAGCGAAGTATTTTCTAAGACGAACATACATATGGTCATGTGCATATTAAAAATACAAATATGGGCAAAATAGATATGATAGGTTTTGATTTAGTGTATAATCAATACGACAGAGCGCATTTACTTTTTGTTATATATTGAACTTTGTACTTCCTATTATTGTTACTTATATCGTTCGCGGGCTTAGAGCTTCTACGAATATTCCCCAAAATTATAAGTTAGTTAGATTTTGTACTTCCTATTATTCTTACTTACATTGTTCGTCGGTTTAAAGCTTCTACAAATATTCGCAAAAATTATCAGTTAGTTATATTTTAAATCAAATAATTTTAAATTATATCAGCTACTATAGTAAACTGCTATGCAGTTTATCAAGAAGAGCGCGTTTGTTGGTTTTAACTCTTTCAGCTTGTAAGCAATTAAAGACTAATAAGATTTGAAAGTAAATGGAACGTCGGTTACAAGCGAAAAAATCGCAGCAAAAACATCGCGGACAAAACAACGCAAGGGGAAAACACCGTCTTTTTTAAAACATGGTAGTACAAAACAGAATCGTCGAAAATAAAGCGGTTCAAAAACTTTGCAGTTTAAAAAAATTGTCCTTGAAAATATCGTGGCAAAAAACAAAGCACCTACAAGTCATCGTATGACGATAACATCGCAGATATGTGTTTTCAGGCTTTAAAAGCTGTAACTGCGTATTCGCATAATGATTTGTGAGCGCAAGAATGAATGAGAAATATTTTTACTTTCACCTTTTTTAATTAACTAATAAATTTTTGCCAATAAATTAAAAAGGTCACTGAGGCATTCAAAAACTGAAAATAAATAGAAAATTAATTTTACTTATAACAGTTGATAATATTTTATGATTTGATAATTAATTAACAAATGTTAATAGAGGTTAATAGAGGATGAGTAAGTATACAAGAACTTACTCATTTTCCTTTTTCTAATTCTTTTAGACTATATTTTTCACGAAAATTACCAATAAAATTTTATAAAAGAAATTCATCAACGAATTATCTTTATTAGTTAACTATATTAAAGTTCTATTAACTGCTAACCTGGTATTATTTTTCTATTTATTTTCAGTTCCTCAATGCTTAAATTTCCTTCTTATTTTTTCAGCAAAAATTTGTTAATTAATTAAAAAATATTAATTGCAAAAGTAAAAATATCCCTCAATCCTTGCGCTCACAAATCATTATGCGAATTTTTAAAGCTTGAAAACGCATGTTTGCGATAATTTTTTTTTTCTTTTTCCCTGGACGTTTAAATTTGCTAAAATAAGGAAAAAAACGTAATGTTTCTTATATTTAAATATGAAAATTAACAAGTCGCTTAGTGCATTACAAAGCTGGCCTACCAGCGGCCGAGCGGTAAAGTCGCTGAACACTGGTAGTTCGGTCCGAGGTTCGAGTCCCGTGAACGGGCTGGCTGATGGGCGTTTTCGTGGTTTTCCCCATGTGTAACGTGTATACGAGCCAGTTTCCCTTAGAAAGTCCTCCACGAAGGCATCCCTCCTCTTAGGCAGATCCTCCACGAAGGCATCCCTCCTCTTAGGCAGATAGCCCTCGAGGCTTTGCCATAATCACACACACACACACGCATTACGAAGCTAATTGACTGAAAAAAAAAATATTTTTCATGTGTTCGCTTCAGTTTTTTTAAAAACTTTTTTTAGGTGGATATTTTATCAACACTATTTATTAATTAATGTTCTTTAACATAAACAAGTAACTGAAATTAGGAGCAAAAAACTAAGGATAAACTTTTAAGTTTAACTGGGATTAAATTTAACTGGTACTTATGCGAAGCAATTTTTTATTCATATGGTTCAAGTATTTTAGTTGATAAACGATTTTAATTTATTCCACATATATATTCTTTAGTTTCGAAAATTAAGAAAATGTCTTTGTTTTATATAATAGATAAAAGTTAACGTGAGAAATTATTAAGGAAATTATCAAATGTTTTCCGTTGATGACGTATAATTCAAGTTTTATATACATTCATTCGTATAGAACGCCTGAGATGTGTGAAATATGAAATTACTTTCTTGCTTTGAACTTACTCTGTAATAGTGATTCTTAAAATAATCTGTAATAGTGATTCTTAAAATAAATTTGCATGTAAGGAGATTATTATTTCGTTAAGTAGTAATTAATTTTAAGCTATTTGAATGAATTTTTAAGCGTTTTAAACTGACAAAATGCTGCAGAAAATACAGAATTTAAAGAGGTAAGTTTCAGAAAACTCAACTTGATAGACAGTTTTACTATAATTAGTTGAATAGCTATTGAATTTTCGATCTCAAGGTAACAGTAAAGAAATGACGCTTAAATAAAATTAATAATTAATGATGCATTGATGTGCACTTTCTTTGAGACACATACTTCAATTGATTTATATGTAAATTTAATGCCTGAATGCTTCTTGCCATTTAAATGAATCTTTTGCAATATTTAAATTCCATTAAAACCATATTGAATTTTTTGTAAAAATACATTTATCCCTATACAAAAACTGAACATTTAACTAAGCAGAATCTCGTTAAGTGATATATTATAAATAAAATATTAGTTTCGTTAATATCTCAATATTTTTTATTAAAATTATTAAAATGAGTATGAGTTGTTTTCTGTATATTTTGCATTATTTATGCTAATTTCTCACTTTTATGTTTCTGTAATCATGTGCCTTTTTTATAAAGAGTTTTCCCATACTTATATTTTTAAGTGCAGTAAATATTTATGAACAAAACGTACATACAAATCATAGTAACCATTTACTTTCAATAATTTTCATATTTAGAAAACTTCCGTTTTTCCCCGTTATTATTTGTCATGATAAAAATTTAAACAGTTATTTAAAAGATTATCTCTTTACAGTATAAAAATTATTTCAGATATTTGTAAAAATTAACTTATCAGCTTTCAAAATGTAACTGTTAGATTTAACTATTCGATATGTGTAATTATAGATACCTAAGGTGCAGGAATGAATTTTAATTAAGAAATTGCATATGAATTATTTAAAGCGGAACACACATGTGTTTAAATATTCCAGAATTCTCTAAAATTCTTGAATTAGATCATTGAGTGCTTAATAATATTCATTAGTGACAATTAATTCCCCCAGGTTCTGGTTCCCAACCGGTTGCCAGGTTCCGACAATGAATGATTACATCAATCGTGGATACGACGAACCGAAAATAGGATCCCCCTTTGGAGCCTATTACTTAGTACGTATACACATTTTACCAAAAATTAAGTTATACTGTGCTTAATTACTTCAAATAAATGATACTTATGAAAGTGGGAAGCTTTTAATATTTTTTTACTATGTGTGTAAAAAACTATTGGGCGAATGAAATATCCGTTAACGAATGCACAAAAACAGTTTCGTTGAAATTCCTTTTTTAAAGTTAAAAATAGGCTTTGTGTTTGTGACGACTAAAAACAAAATTGTGCCTGAAATCTTTTTACACCAGGTAAACGAGAATAAATTACACCTTAAGAATTAATATTCGATATTTAATATTTCAGAAAATTTTAAATGTTAAAGCGATGTTTTAAATAAATTCATAAAATATTTATTTCTTAAATGCTGCTGATTTTATTGTGCTAGATAAAAATGTGAGCTATCGAGTGAAACGTTACTTTTTTCTTACTTAAAATTGAAACTGCTTAATTTAACACATAAGTAAATTCAATTTCGTCTAAGTTTTCTTATTTGATGAGTGAAGTTGAGGGTTTGTTATGAAAATGGCTGTTATACTTCCATTTCAACACTTTTAAATCCCAGAAATCAGTTTTTATAAATAAAATATCAGTTTCATAAAACAACGAACTTAATGGTTTATTTTTATATAACACAATTATATATTAGAATATACTGTAAATTTCTTTAATTATACGAAAATTTTTACACAGTTGTACCCCTTTTTTTAAATTGCTGTAATTCAATTTTCTCTATAAAATTTGGAAATAACAATGAGTAACTTACAAGGCGTTATCAAAATTATTAATTCATTTGTAAATTAATCCTAATAATTTCTCATTTTAAAGAAAAATAAATCTTTTAATAATTAAATTAAAAGTTATATCTTTTATTTTCAAATAAATGATGTAATGAAAAGCAATGGTACAATAATTCTTTTCATACTAAAATGGATATTTTCCACGTCGATTAAGCAATCAATGTCATCGCTATGGGAAACGTATTCAACTACATATCAACAAACGGTACATCAAAATTAAAAAATTATCGTAATATTTCAGAAATTTTTCTCTTTTCAGAAATAAAAACTTGAAAATTTGTAGCACGGAACCACTTGAGAATTTGTAGCCTTCTACATGTATATTTTTCGCATATCTAAAATTTATTTAAATATATTTTAAATTAATTTTAATATTGGTACTAAAGTAATTCGTTTTAAATTAGAGATTACTTATTTCGAACTAATAATTCCCTATGCCTGATATATAATTAAGTAAAGCTTGTGTAGCTTAACTATAAAAGAATTTGGTAGCAATAGCCATTATCAAGTACAAATTAAAGGGAAATGAAGCCTTATAATAGTATGGAATTAACTATGCGGCAACTCTTTTAATAGCAGCTTGTATAGATAGATATATTGTTTTGATAAGGAACGCGGCTCATATCATTTCACACGTTACAGTGATGTGAATTCAAAACTAAAAAGCTAGCTGATAAGCTCGTGAATGAAATATGGAGACAAATTTTACACCCACGCCTTTCATAACTGCACCTTAGTGATAGAGAATTTCCGTCAGCTTATTCGAGAATACATTGTTATAATAGCTTCCTTAGATGGCGCGAAGAAAGAAATAATAGCAAGAAATAAAAGCTTCTATGGCGGCTAAAAATGTGCACGTTAACATGAAACAAAGAAAGAAATTTCGTCTGCAACGGCAAAACTTAAATGTGGACGGCTAACCGGTCTTGCAAGAATTTTTTTTTTTTCTTTGACACGAAGACTAACAGCACCTAATTTTTTTTCTTTCTTATTCCTTCCCTTCTTTTTTTCCAATATCATATTCTTCATCGTTCTTTTATTTTAATATTTTTTAAGTGTACGATAAAAACGCGCCAGTATGGGCTAAGATTTATGTTGAAGCTATAATAGCGCCAAGCCGACTTATTACCAGCGCAAAAATGTGCCTAAATTGCTTGAAATTATAGTTAGTAGTGTAAAAAGACTTCTTTATAATGAAAAGCTAAGCTTGCAAGTCGGACGATTGTTTGTAGATAAGAGGGCGTTTTAATTCATGTGGTTAGATATATAAACAGAGTATTTCTTCTAGCACGATTTCGTAGGAATAGTTCTTTCAGTGAATGATTACTCATATTTTCTAATTTTCTACCAACAGACAATTTCATATTGGATATATTAATGGATAAAAAAAGGATAATGTAAAATACGATTATTTTTGTGTGTATAAACGTTAATCATATTTTTACCTTTATTATTCAATATTTTCTTCTTAACCTATAGTATAGTACGTTCGACATTATGTTTTATGTTTAAATATTCTAGATTTGGAGATTTAGAATACAATATTCCTTTTGTATAAGCAATTTTTGTTGATGTTGAAGTGCAGTGGAAATGAGTATTTAATCGTTAGTTGTAATATATTGGATATATTAATGGATAAAAAAAGGTAATAAGAAATGCGATTTTTTTTTTCTGTGTAATTGTTAATCATACTTTTTCTTTTATTATTCAATAACTTTCTTCGTAACCTACAGTGCGTTATGTTTTATGTTTGAATACTCTTACGGTTAATGGTTTGGCGAATTAGAATGTAATATTCTTTTTGTTTTATGTTCTTAGAAATGTTTGTAGCAATCCAAGAAAATTAAATAATTTCTAGCCCAAATAAAATGGTATTCTCTTTGCAATGATTGCTAAGTTGCTTTCGCAAGAAAATGAGTGCATACGTTTTTAATAATAACATATTATTATCTACTTTTTAAATAAGGTGTTAATTTTTTTCCATTACAGAAAAAGCACCTAAAAATTTATGAACGAATTCATCTAAATTGATAAGGAAGACAAAAACAAAGGAAATAAACGTCACGAACGAATTGGTAATACGCGGATGACTAAGTACACGTGCCTAGTAAAACGAGAAGTTCTTAGTTAGAAAATTTGATATCAAAACAAGTTGTATAATTTAAAAAAAAGTTTATTTTATTTTAAAATATAGCATTGCCACGTGTTTACTAGTGATGTGCTTCAAATTTTATCATGATTAGTGAAATCTGGATAATACCGAATACAATAGAGTAAACAGAGCGATAGTTATATAACATACATACGATAAAGTTCAATAGACGTATAAAGATAGGTATTACCTAGCTTTAAATAAATCAATTAGGAACTTATATTTCGAAACGTAACGTATTTCTTCTGGCATACGGGTGAAACTATGGGATTCTGAAATTTTGAATTAATCCTTAACAAGTTATACAGCTGTATGAAAAGGCTGAATGTGTAGTACACTTAAGTTTGAAAAACAATTTTAATTGATTAAAGAACAATAAAAAAATCACTTTTTCCAGACAAATAATTACATAAATAAAGAAATATCAGTTCTAAATGCACATGCATATTTAATTTCATTGTAGAACTGTGTGGAAAGAGAATATTAGGCGCTTTTAATCTATTGTATTTTATCAAGTTATGACTCTTTTTGCTTTTTATAGCTAATGGGCATTTTCTTTTTTTAATTATCAAAATATGAAAGAGGTACAGAAACAGAGAACACGAAACCATGGCTATAATTAGCAGTGCCTAATCGCAAAAGATACCATGCTTTGGAAAATTTTCCAGTTATTTCTTTGTAATGATTTAATGCAGGCCTAAATTGTACCTGTTTCAGAATACGATTAATTACTGGATCAAATTAAATAACTTTGAGTTACTTTAACACAATAAGATGTTCTAATAATGTCTCAGGAAAACTTCAGAAGTAAAATTTATAAAAGAATGGATGTCCTTAATGTGTAGAAACGTTTTTATCTCTCTCGGTTTAATGTAAGTGCTCTAACATTTCAGTTCAGTTTAATAACTGGGTGCATCAAGGAAGCGAACTTAGAAACATATGAAATGTTTTTGCAGTTTTTTTATTCCGTTGAAACAATTTTATCAAGATTGTTTTTTCTTCTTCTTTTGAACCTTCTAGCGTTTAAAAAAGGTCACAAAGCTCTCAAAACACCCATGACAAAAGTACATTTTATTCGATTACAATTACAAAATGACCCTAGCATATTATAACTGTACTCTTCCCCTCAATTCGTGTTTATAATAATCTGCTGCTTAATAAGATGACGCACTGGTACAAAGTTTGCTGTCTTATATATGCGCATTTAAGTGTTAGAGGATTTAAAAAAGGCTGCATGAATTAAAAATTACAGATCTGATAATTTTAAAGCATACGTAACTCTCAGCAATAAAAGAGAGATTTTCCTAATATTTAATCAATGATCTTGCGGCATATGGTTCATACAGTAAAAACTTGTATGTTGTATTGCGCACACTAGTTTTTAAAAACTCTAATTTGATTACGTAAATGTATGTTTTATTTATCAACTTCAAAGAGCCGAATGAATGATGTTTAAGGTTATCCTGTTGGTAAAAGGCCGTAGGATAAAAAAAAAAAAAAAAAAAAAAAAAAAGAAAAAGAAAAAGAAAAAAAAAGAGTTTCAACTACTTCTTAAAACTTTTGATGGAAAGAAAAAAGCATGAAATAGTTTTTGGATGTGTGACACTACCTGTTTGCGAAAGCAGATCACTTCTACTTAACATTTCAAACAACAGTCGTAAGTTGTTGTTCCGGCCTCCAACGAAGCAAAGGAATCGATTATTTATCATCAATACTAAATCATCGAATATCGCTTTCCTTGTCTGGCGTTTTGAAAAATGAAATAACGCATGTGATTTATGAGACGGGCATTTACGCGAAATTTGATAGCTTATAAATAATGGGAAATTTGGGGGGATGGAGGGATATGCCCCGTCAGAGTTGATGGAACTGAATAGACCCAGAGGGGAGCACACATTGTTCATTCATATATTCCGAAACAATTATAGACCACTTAGCTATTTTATTCCTTTTCAACTTTTTTTCCTCTTTGGAGAGTCGTTTTTAATATTCAGATCAGCGCAGTGAAGGTATGCTTTCGAAAGTCTCAACAAAGATTTCTTCAATATGC